CTGTCCACATCCTATAAGTATAACTTTAATTAAGGTACCTCTCAGAATGAGTTCCGAAAACGTCAAATTAGCGATTTTTATATAAAAATTCTGGTTAAATGATAATACGCTGGTTTAATTAGACATTTCAATAGTCGGTCGATTCCAAAACATTGTACTATCGGAGAAGATATATGCCCACAATTTGATTACAAGACAAAAACGTTATTAACTTTTTTAAATTGCTTAATAAAGTACAAAGCCCTACTATGCTAAAAACTCAATCGGACGTTTTTGGAGTATGTTATGCATCTTTTCCCATTTTGTGCAATCTTTAACCGAAAATTGATAGTTTATAAATTTCGCAGTAAGTTTTTTCGGTTACGGTTCTGTATTTCTCTTCTAGCACTGTCAGCTTAGTAAATGTATGTATGCACTTGTTGTTTTTTAATCTACTATCATAAGAGTTATATAAGGCAAGACCATTTTGAGTAATAATGGTGTAGGTTGCTTCCCATTCACCTATATACATGCAGCATGCGAACTTGCAATACTACTTTCACATCAAGAAGCTTCTTCTGTTTGGAATGTTGTACAGTACCGAAGAGTAGAAACTGCACGATGCCTTCCGACTTTGAATGTAGGCTAAGTCGACTTAAACGTATAGTTGTTATAAACTGCAAGTTGCTATTAGTAGATGGCAGAAATTGCTACATTCCTTTAAGAAAATCATTAAACAAATAGCCTATAATCTTAATTTTATTCGAATTCGGTCCGAAATTTTTTTGCAAGATGATCTTAGAAAGGGGACTTTTTATTTTCTTTATTATTGTTATTATTGCTATGTCAGTTTTATCGTATTTCTAACTAACTTCATGGTCGGTTGGACAACGTGACGTTCAAGATACAGCTCATTAAACATTCTATTTGACACCTTATTTTATCCCTAGTCCAATTATTCAGTTATAAGAACCCAGAATTGCTTTGTTATATCTAATAGTTTTTAAATAATGCCGAGAATGGTAATTTATTAAAGCATCCTAATCTATTTATTCATTTCCACAAATTGAAAACAATTATCATCAACCAATTCAATTCAGTACAAATACATACATCAGTAATAGCAAAGTCAAAAATTTCTTTACGTAAGAATAAATTCTTTTAAAGTAAAAGGCAAGCTTCCACATATGAGAGCCACCAGCAAATCTAGGTACTGTTCATGATTTATTGTACCTTTCTCCTTTAACACTGGTTGAACATCACATTGCATATTAAATGCAATGCGAATTTGTGTTGAAATGCATAATTTCAAACGAACTACCACGCAATTTTAATTAACATCTTAAACCAGGTAATTTTTGTTAGAATACTTTTCATTCTTATGAAAACATTTTAAATGTGAAAGTTGCATACTTACCTTAATTTGTATAATTAACATCATTCGTTTAAATATTGCATGCATATAGTGTAAGGAGTTAAACTTTAACTTTAGTAAACTTATAAAAAACTATTTATTTACCAATTTATCAGGAAGCTTCATTTTTAATTTGTTTTACAAATAAGTTGTAACTTGGTTAACAAGTACGTTTAACTTGCTTAGGAAACCCCTTTTAGTGATGTACAAGATCAAGATACTTTTCTTGTTAAGCAGGTTAGTAACTTACTTGTTAAGTAAGTTAATAAGTTGTTTGTTAAGCAAATTATAAATGATGCATGCTGATACTTCAGAGCTTTCGTAATTATTGGCCTTTTTTTTCGTTTGTTGTATTTGACATTACCTGGTATTTCATATCTATTAAATTTAAAACGTTACATGTCAAATAATTCTTACAATTTGACGTTAGTAGAGTATTTTCTATAAGCGTACAATAATGACAAATTCCTTGTAAAGTTAAAGACAAGAGTTGCCACACGCAAATATTACGACTCTTTAGGAGACGTCTCCGGTGGAATGTCGGCGGCCGCGCCGGGTGTAACCAAGGACTTTTTCGTTTATTTTATCCTAAAGTACCGCGATTATCCTTTATAATTCCTAGTCATAACAGATAATATCGTCAATAAATTTTCAATATTGTTTGAAATAAAGAGCTTAACATATATATTGTTATTATCTGGAGGTATAATTTTAATTTGAATTCGTTGTTTGTTCAACTGTCTCTTCAATTATTAGAAAAGTGAATCATCTCATATATTTTAATGTAGCGATAGAATACCTAGAGAAATTTTAAAGCCTTCCGTTTTTAATTATGTATATTTATAAAAGAGTCACAGATCTCGTGATGGTGTTGTAATTTCTAAATTTAGCTGACAAAGAGAGTCAGTATCAAATTCGTTTTTTCAGACGGCGTCAGTGTCTTATTTGAAGTTTTATTTTTTAAGAGGACGATAAATTAATAGTCAACAGTAGTGATCAGACGAAATTCCTCTAGAGTAATTCGACAATTCACCTAAATTTTGCGGCTTTATTTTTCTTCATTAGCTGCCGCTTTTTTCTTTTTATGAGAACATCGTATGTACTACTAATTCTAGCTTTTTTAAGCCTCTTGCGTTTATCCTGAATAGTTTAACATTTCTTTACGATTAAATGAAAGAGAGCTTACACAAATTTCTAGTCGCAAAATAGAAAGCATGATGCTTTAAGGATGGACAGACAGTTCGCCTCTGAGTACCGAGATTTATAATTCTGTAGTTTGTAGGTTACAAGAAGCAACAGTAATGTGTCACATAACCCCGAGTTCATGACCCTAACTGACATTCACCTGTCTTCTATAAAAAAAAGTTTTTTAAGTTATGTTTAGCGACTGCTAACGGCAGTGTATTGGGTATTGTGCGTGGATAAATTGCAATTTTGTTTTCTAATTTAACCTGTTTATCCAATAAAGGAAAACGATTGTATGTATAGAATTAATAAATGAACTTGCGTGCAACCGACAAACGCAGCTTAATTTTAAAACTTAAAAAGGTATAGGTTAAAAGGAGTTCATGAACAAAATGACCCCTCTTACATTTACTGTAATAGAATTACTATATAAACTTATTATTTGTGTGATCTTTTTATGACAGTAAAAACAGTGGCGCTAAAGCGTCGTCATCTCATAGGTTTATCGACGGCGCCATGTGGGATTATGCGGTAAACATTCTAGCAAAACCGGAAGTTTCCGTCGAGATGACGTTTCTCTTCCGTATAAGAAAACGATTGTGCAGACTCGATAAGGTTGTCAGTGGTCTTCTTTAGACAGTAGATATTATGAAGTTTCGATCAACTTTACGAGTTCAGTAATTGATTTATCGGATGTTCAATACATATACGCATTTTACCCTATTTTATCTTATTTTCTTTATGTTTACGTTAGAGCGGACGTTATAAACTTTTGATGTCGAAAAATGATTACATGATAACACGATGTGGAAAAGTTAACGACGTAATTAGCCCTTTATTTTAGATTTGCGAATGTTGCTCGAAACGAATTACCGTTTAACATCTGTGTATTGTACATGGACAGGAGGAAATAGGTCAATTACAGTTCTAAGTTTAAGCTGTTGCCACCAATACAGACAGCTTTTTTCTGCAAAACAGTTAAATTAAACTTTCAGTTTTTAAATAAGATTTATATCTAAATGTATTAGAAATTCCTCGAAATTGTGTAAATCGTCGCCGTCGATATACCTATAATGGTTGCGCATTGCGATTTCTCATAAAATAGTGGAGTAAATTTTTTAAATTAAATAAGTGGTGACTGCCTTTAACGTTAAGATAAGGTAAAAAAGTAGCATGTTGTAAATTAATCAAGGTATGGCAACATAAACTGTAACTAGCCAGGCTACACGTAGTTTCATTCGCACGCTTCGAATTATTAGTGAAAGGCAGATGATTTGCTTAATTTACATGGATTGTGAATGCAGTGAACGGCAAGACGAACCGCGAGAAACGAATTTAGCATGTTTTTCTCAAGATCGAGATCTATAAAATTAGTTAACTCTGACGACTTCATGAAGGTCAGCCCTCTCGTTAGAACTATTCGCGCTCTGGTGATCGACAAACTTTTCGCGTAACTATAAGTAAATCGAAAGTGTGCAATTCTAAGATCAAAATATAAAATTCATCACGTCTTAGCATTAATAGGGCGTAATAGGGAAATACTTTCTTCGGGTAAAGTCAAAACGTTTAATTTTTAAGAAATAACCGACGAAAAAGTACTAAATTCAATTTTTTATATAAATGAAGGTAATTCAACTTTGAAACGGAGCACAACGTGTTTTAAAGCAGCTGTCGTCGAGTTTTTCTTAAGCACCCGTATGCATTCTCCTCGTGAAGTGCCTACAGTTCACCTGCCCCAAAGTCGCGTTTGTTATATTTACATTCCTTTTGCACAGTAAAGAATAAAACGGAGTAAATTTTAACACTAATGATAATTTCCACAAGCACTTTTCGTTAAGTATACTGTCCGATCGATACTGTTCTTTTTTATTTAAATTTAGACTATGTTCATAAACATTCGTTTTAATCCTTTGATGTGGCAAAACACCACCTGCTGAAACTTATTATGAACACATTGCGTGATGATAAGCCTTTTTGTATGTTCAGTTGAAAACTGTCAAGAATTATGTATAATCCTAATTAAGGCCGAGTACTTTTTAAGTTCGAGTTACCAAATGTGTTTAGTGTGGATAATTAAAGTTTACGGTTAGTAGTAATGACAACACAACAAGAAGTTTAATAAAAGCGCTCACGATGAAATTATATAATCAGAACTAAATATTGTACGTACTTACCATTTTGCTGGAAGAAAATTCTCACTGTAGTTATGTTGTGGCATAATAAAATGCGAATTACACGAAAATTAACACTCGAATTACATGTTTATATATAAAATATTTTCACTGCCGTGAACATTTTTATATTTTTATTGCTCATTTTTTTTACATTAGTGGTGGAAAGGAAAAGCGGTGGCAATTAAGAAAAGGCGTAAAAAATGAAAGATTTTTATAAAGAACAAAATTTACTAAACAATACAGCCGTTTCAATATAAGACTGCATGAAGAAACATGAACAATTATAATAATCGGTATTATAATAATGACATAAAGTTTGCATTTTTTCTCACTATAAATATACATCAATATCTTACAAAAGGTCTTTTATTAGACAAGCTTTGCGGTAAACTTGTCGACGTGATTAAGTATTACAACAAGTGTAGTATGGGCCATTTTTGGCAATACCGAAACGCCATTCGAAGGAAGAATCGATAGTGCCGTGAATGGCCTTTCGAAATGACTTAGTTATAATATTACAGGAACATATTATCTTTGTTCAAAGATATATTCTTAAAAACTATACTTAAACTAATTTAAATTTACACTACACATACATCAGTCGCTTCCGCCGTTGGTGATGGAGATGATTCTTTTAGCAAAAAAAAAATGGCGAAAAGAATCGTCTTCCGTCACATTCATATTACGGTGGACGTAGGTAATCTAACATAATAATACAAATACTGGGAAAAGTAGTCCTTTAAGTAGTTGATTCTGACTTAGTTTTAGTTAAGTTGATCACATAAATGATAAATATAAACATGACGCCTTATCGTATAGCATGCCCTCGTCTTCGAAATCGATCGTTTTTACTTACAACATGCAAATTTTAGTTACCTACTGGACGTTTTGCCTCCTCGCAAGACAGGCTCTTAGTTCCGCCAAATCTTTGGTTCCTAACCTAGATCCCCCATCAATGGTCAAAATGCATGGAAATATCGAATTATTATAACTAAACTATATACAAACAAACTATTACCATTAGTGGGAAAGATCTGGTCTTGGTTGGCGTTTTCCAGAGCGGTATCGCGAGCACGCAGAAACCCCTGGAGGACATCGTGCGTTGTACTGTCGTGTCCTACAAGTTAAGTACGCAAGCGAAATAAATAATAAGTTTGCGATCCTAACCGCATCAGCTGCCGGAGCTGAGATATTTAATAAATAACTGTACAAAGCGTGGCTCCGACCTATGATGTGAACGGATTCAACACATATTCATGCACTCAGCTCAGACGCACAACAACGTAAATATCATCCTTCGTATTTACACCTCGGTTGCGAAAAGGCCAGGCGATATCGCACCTGCTCGGTGGAAATGTTCTCCTATCACATAAACCCCAACATTGGGTTCCTTCTCCACCGACCTCTTTAACAGGGACGGATCGCTGTAAGAAAACAGCAAGTTAGTGGAAGGAAAGGAGACGTTATATAGGTATGTTGTGTACGTATGGAAAGTAATTCCAAAAATATCACATTAATCGAATGAATAAGTAGTGGTGGTGTTTAAAAGTCAGAAAAGAAATTATAGGTTATTTACCTCACTCCACACACAGCCGAGGAATTTGACATCACAGACATACGCTTGATGTGTTCGTATTCGGGTTCGTGCTGCAGTTTGGCAGCAAGTAACACAGAAGCGGCTGCAGTACGAGGCCCGTGTTCTGTGTTCAGTTGTTTTTGAGAACGGGACCTCTGCAAAGTATAAACAGGCCTCCCATCGATGATCTGATGGTGCAGCGGCTTTGAGAAGCAGTCGCTCTCACTGACACTCACGTTAGAGACACTACAGTCATCAGGAGAAGGGAGATTAGACGCACTGACAACGTTGTTTGTGCACTTTCCCCAAGAGTTTTTAATTATGTGCGTATCGGTAACGATATTACTTCCACGTTTTGAAAAACTACTATGAGCTGTATTCTGTTCATTTTGCAAGCGAGCTTCTTCATCCGCTCGAGCTTTTTCTCGCTTCCTTCGTTGTTTTAAGCAGATGATGACGCCTACCGCGATTAACACTAGAAGTGGCACGAAAGTCGAAATGGTCGCGATCACTACCACATGTTCTGTAGTAAGGTTCGAGTCAGATGACACCCTTGCGCTAGGAGCCGCACTAGTCACGGATTCGTCACAAGTCCGTCCCATAAAATTCGTCGTGCACTGACATTCGAATCCGTGTACGCGATTCACACAACTACCGCCGTTTTGACATGGCCGCGACTGGCATTCGTCAATTTGTTCGCTACAGTCTTTACCTGCGAAACCAGGCGCACACTTACACTTATAGTCATTAGTCAATTTTATGCAAGTTCCACCGTTCGCACACGGCTTCGCAAGGCAATAATCGACGCGAGTTTGGCAAAGCGGACCTACGAATCCTGGCACGCATTGGCACCGAAACTCGTTCACTTTGTCCACGCAGGTCCCACCATTTAAGCAAGGATTTCCCAAACAATCGTCTATGTTTGTTTCACACCTCTTCCCACTGAATCCTGAGAGGCAGATGCATTTAAAGCCGTCGATGTCATCGAAGCAACTTCCATCATTCATGCATGGATTGGAGATGCAATCGTTTACTTGAAGCTCACAGTCCTGGCCGCTATATCCAGGAAGGCACTCGCATTTGTGACCCATTTCCGTTTCTGTACAAGTACCACCATTATGGCAAGGGTTGTCACTACAAGTTTGTACGGAAGTTTCGCAGTGAGGACCGTGGAAGCCTTTAGGACACACGCAAGTATGGTACGTGCCGTTTTTTGTACAAGTTCCATCGTTCAAACAGGGGCTGTTCTGGCAATCGTAGATCGCTATTTCGCATGCGGTGCCTGTAAAACCCGGTGCACAGCTGCAAGTGTAGCTGCCTTGTCCGGTGTTGAAGCAGGTGCCACCATTACGACAAGGTTTGTGGTTGGTGCAAAAATTCAAATCCTGATTACAGAAAAGGCCTCCCCATCCTTCATCGCAAAGACAATCCCACGGCTTAACACAGGTTCCGTGCATGCAGCCTGGATAACGTTGACATTGATTGCATAATGGACCTTCCCATCCTGACTGGCATCTGAAACAATAAAGCCACACATAAGCTTTCACTACCTTGCTAAATAAATTGCATACAACTAGTTCTAGTTTTGATGTTTCCACAAGTTAAAGTGTAGAAATGAAAGAATATGAGCATAGATTATACTACACGAGTTGCACTTTTTAAGGTTTTATTCATGACAAAATGTTAAGTCTGCTCTAAAAATACCTTTTCCCGTGAATAGTCGTGCAAAATCAGCAAATTGTATAATCGTAAATTGTTCAATTTGCGTGGGAACAACAGGATAATTTTATGTATTTGCTTCATGAATGAACATTCCTATTTTGAAAAATACGAAATAAAAAATTCATGTCGTATAGAAGTGCTAAAAATATTAAAGTAAATGTGAAAATAAATGTAAACTACAAACAAACATCAATTTATACACACACACGTAGATATAATATTCCATAAATTTTTCTACAGTGTAGTTAGTATATGACTGTATAAAATTAGATTGGGATGACGCATGAAAGACCTATACAACCGGTGTAGTTTTGTTAACGTCACCGACATTACAGAATATAAATCGGGGAAGTGATGTCTATTAAAACAGAAAAATACACTTGGACGGATGCATTCTCCGTGGAAATAACGGAATGATGAAGTGGAATCAGCTTGTAAAGTCTTCAACGTGCACCGTAGACGAGAAAGACGAGAATAAGATAATAATGACGAAACAGATTAGTCGTTTGTGAAATGCACCAGCGCAATTATATTTTCAACATCGTTTTGAATTTTGATTAGAAAAAAAAAAAGAAGTTGTTTAATGAATTAAGACAAAATGATTCTATCAATTAAAAAAATGAAGTTAATTAAGTTGAAAATATTACTCTTTCGTTACTGCTAAATGTGAATCTTAATACCTACAAAATGAGAAATATTTAGAAAGTGCATGAATATTTGTTTAGATTTCTCAAGTGCATTTCAATCACGCCCCGAAATGGCAATTGTCCCGTAAAAAACGCGAAGAAGTAGAAGAGAACAACTAAACAGAAGAAGATGTGATACAATTGTTGCGTTTTTTCTCAGGGCAATAGGCTGAGCAGCGTTACATTAGTACCCTTTAATTATTCCGATCATGCGTTTAGGAGTGAGTGTATTTATTCGGATTGTATCGAGGTGCTCATTGAGTTGCAGCTTGGATCGTCGTTGCGCGGGGAGAAGTGGCGGGGATGCAACACGCCCACAGAGCTGTTTCCCACGCTGCCCGGTGGCAAGTATGCAGGTCAAGGAAAGGTTACCTGCGGGTCGGCGGCCCAATCCGCATACACCATCTCATAGGTGCACTCTGTTGAGCGACTCTTTCGATTCTGCCCTTCTCTTCCGCGTAATGATAAAATGTTCTTTTATATCCATCACATATGAATGTAGCATCGTACGAGTAGCTATTATTAATTGTTGTTATTGAATATCGTTCTGTTATCATCCTTTTTTAATAGCCTCACGCGACGATGATGCAATAATTAAATCTTTCGTAATAGGAATTTTTTGAATGAAAAAGCATTAGCATATTGAGGTAAATCGGCATTTTATAAACTGGCAGGTTCAGACGTCAGACTACGTTACATGTTATGCAAATGTGTTTATGATGGGTACGATTTTGAGTGGTTATGGTGTAGGTAGTTACATTTCCTTTAACAGGAAATGCACTGTGCGAATTTATAGTCTGAACTTTCTACCAGTACGCACTGACGTACGACTGTTATTAACTTTTCAAAAATTTTACATATACCGTCTGCGATAACTTAAATTAATTAATTAGGAGAATATTTAATGAGTGAAACTTCCCTCAAAGTGTCTTTTTAGTTTAATCATGTACAATCTTGATGCAATTTGAAGAAATTTATGCAGTTGCTGCTGATTAACATTGATGTAATTACATCAACTAATTGTCAGAAATTGAGGAAAGTTAATGCTCCTGAAAACAAGACGAATGAAAGAACTGCCTACTGTGGGTACATGTTATTTTGTGCAAATCGACAGTTAAGAAGTGTGCACGATTTTATGAGTTGTAAAGTAATTTTATTCACTTGGCTGCCATGATGAATTTTAATTACGTTTTGGTTTTGCTTCTAATTACTTTGCAAGAGTCATAATTCTCGTTTGTTTTAACAACGTCGTTTTAGTAAAACTTACGTGTCAGAACCATTCAAGGGGCAACCAGTTCTTCTGTAGTTAAAAATATACAACGTTCCACATCATTGTTACAATAATCATAACAAATATTAATAATCTTTAGTATATAATAATATAATTCATTTGCGCAGTAAAATCTGTGGAAATATAGAACTTTTTTGTCGAAACCGTAGTAGCAGACTTGTTAGCGGGAAGCTATTGTGTAATATACCGTATTTTATGCTAATCTTAACTTTGTTAGAACATTGTACCAACCACACAAAGTAATTTCAATGATAGAATAAGTGGCATTCGGTGGATAATAATGACGTTAAGTTCTTACCTGCACTCGTTTGGTTTCGAACAATGACCATGTTGCTCATCACAGCCTGGTAAACAACGGGCTGTAAGAAAGAAAACGGAATAAGTACAGATAGGAGAATTAATTATGTATTTGTTTCTTTACGTTTATTCCTACAACAGCACAAGAAATTGATAATTAAATATAAACAGAAGAAAAATATAATATTATGAATTAGTTGAATTCTAAACATTTATACCGAATATACCTTTCGAAATAAACAAATCAAGAAGAAAAGAGAGATTGACCAAATGGTCTACAGTTACCTACTGATATTCTAATGTGAAGAATAAAGTTTTTATTGTTTTATATCCGAGTCTTTTGTGGACCATAAATTACATAAATATTAAAAAGGAAGGAGGTAAATGCGTTCCTAGCACAGCACACCTTCACTGCAGTAAATTTGTCCAATATTTCGGTATCAGAGTAGAAGTTCGTTGATAGACCAATATTCTATTGTTTAATTTGAATAATAGGATAAAAGTAAAAGAAGCATTACTGGCAGCCTAAGTCGGTAAAATAGTAGCAATAGTCTGCTTTGCTAGTGCTTTATGTTCTAAAGAACAATGATGGATGATGGTCGCGGCCTGACAAGAATGTAGTAGTCGCAATATGGTTATACCAATGTAGTAGATATACAGGACGAATGGACGTACGGTGCGCTACAATATGTGCAAGAAAAAGAGAACGGTGCGCAGTAGAAATGTTGTTTCTAACTCCAATGTTCGCCACGGTCTTCTGTCCTGTCTGTCCGAGAGACTGGCTGGCTCATTGTCAGCTAGTGCCTCCTCTGTGCACCCTGTATACTCGCAGGTATGCGCTACGGCCAAGCAGATCGTGGGAAGAAAGCCGGCTGCAACCGACAGCTGACTTGCTCACGTCTTTGCTTTCGCGGTCGTAGTTTTTGTTCTTTTACGATCAAAAATTATATTTTTTGTCCTTTAATGTCCGTATTCACTTGCACGATAGACGCATCATTCGTAATCGAGTTCCCATCTTTCTCTTTTTTATGAGAAGTATTTGCATTTTTTTATTCGTCAAATTTTTTTGCTTTTCTCAATTCCTTCCACGACCATATAAACAGACGATTGAAAATTGCTATTTTTTCTTAATAAAATTGCTTCACCGTTTTGCGAAATTAAGCAAGTCTTGCGTGAAAAACGGTACTAATTAAGAAGTAGGTGTCTTCATTTAAAGGACCAACAACATTGTTGGCTAAATCCCAGATATTTATACCAGAAGTATAAAAACCGATATGTTTTTACCTAATTGAACATGACTGAAACAAGGTAGCACCAATTTCAGCAACAGTAGCTTACAATTAGTTCTAACTAAAACGATTTAAGCAACCGTAGTACCCAGGAAAAGGTTAGTTGTTTTATTCTGAAACAACTTTATCAACAGGAATAATTTAAAGCAGTACAACTTCAAGTGTGGCTCAATATAGGTGGTAATTTATAGTAAGATGAAAAACGTCCGTCCCGGCAAGTATACATTAAAAAAGAAGGGAAGCTGATAGAGACGCACATCTGGCGCTACTCTTCGCTTTCGACGTTTATGTATGATACTTATAAATGTATATAACAATAAAAACACACAGCGAGTACTTACGTGTAGTGCAGTAATCGCCGGTCCAGCCAGACAAACAGACACGTTCACCCGTGGGAGAGCAAGTAAAATGGCCGAAGCTGTCGTCCCTAGGCCGACATACTGTCTCACATCCCTTGCCGTAGTAATATGGCTCACAGGTTACCCTGTATTCTATACGCAAAGTGGAATATTTCGAAGTGTGATTGTCTTCGGTCCACTCGTCACTCACTTGTAAATATCGTTGTCTAATAAGGGTGGTAACCAAAACTGTAAAAAAAAAAGCTTGGTAACTCGCAAGTGAAGTTTGTATACGAGGGGTTGTAGCTATTCAAAAGAACAACATTTTTATTTAAAGAAAGATCCTCGAGTATATCCAAATGAAAACAATAGAATTTGTTCTGAGATAAGGTTTAGATGTAGTAATTTTTGGTGTTAAATAGAAACGTAATTCAACAAATCGTCGTCAAAAGGCAGACGTGAAAGAAATAAGGTGCACCTGCATGATGTACTTCGCAGCTGTATCCGGCAAAGAACAGAACAGAGGCTGGATGATGGCTGCTGCGGGGAAGCGAGAAAGAAAACAGTCTCTTTTACCCACCACCACCACCACCACCACCAACCAGCCAACTCTTTGAACACCTTTATTATAGCTTCCAACTACAAGAGCGAATGAGTAAATAAAACTAAAGTTTATCGGGGACAGGTTCTGTACACCCCGACTTTATACCTGTATCAACCTTCATCCAATTCCCTTAATTAGTTCCTTCATTGCTACGAATATTTAATAATTAATTCCCTGATGTCCGATTTCAGTTACAATTTATTTTTAATACTAATGGAAGAAGAAATGGATCGAATTTAAAGTAACTGTTTTACTTAAACACATTGTATGTATACTCCAAGGAAGATTTTAAATTGTTTATTCATTTGTACAATAATAGCAAAATATAGTCATTGTGGAACACAAAATAAACTAATAAGTACACCGAGCTTCCAAAAGGTTAATGAGAAACATGGAAATAGCGTTAACACTATGGTGCAATACTCTTGAAATATTGCTAATGACTCATAAATCTTAAGATTGAAATTTCACCAGCTTGTTAAATTTTAAAACTCAACCCAAGAAAATTGACGCGTTTCTTTGACCATAAATTTTCTTTTGTGACTTTTACTTTACTTACGGCAAATATTTCTTATATTGTACTTGCGTGTCTGGGAACTGGAAGAAATGCGTGTTAATATTTATGAGCGGTTTAGTAAAGGTAAACACGATGGGAAGTTATCGCGAACAAGGGTGGGAAGGAAATTCAAGACAATATTCCATCACATCAAGAGACACAGCGACACGATGCGATGTACGAAGCACATAAAAGACCAAGCGATGATGGCGCAAAGCGTGAGGGGTAGTGGTTGCTGTAGCAATACTAGTACCTATCTGAAGGGTCAGGACATCCGGTACAGCGTTAAAATCGCACAGCGCTTCTCCTAAGGAAACGCTTTGTGTAACTTACCACACTGATATGGGTTGTTCGCGTAAACAGATGCATCATGGAACAGTGTAGGTGTACCAAGACATACAAAAACTGATATGTGTATAACATGTATTTCGATATGTACGCTTGTAGGGGGCGATCGAATTAATCCGTAAATAACGCAAAGAAAAACTTGAGACTTAACCTATTTACCAAATATCCTTAGTCTTCTTTTGCCGCAATTGATAGTCGAACAGGATCGTTAAAAATAGAACCGATCACTTTCGGACAGATTCGCGAAAGAAAGAAAAACAACAGGGTCGCCAGGCGCTTAGCTTTTACGTTCTTATTTCAGTTTTAATAGTCGGCAATACGCAACTTAACAGCATCAGTTTTATGAGGGAACCGCAGAACTTTTCTCGTTTATTCCTTTTATAGGTACTAAGGTATCTATTCTCGTGTAAATGTATGTACAATGGGTAAAAGTTCTACAAAAATAAGCATAAAAGGATATATTTTTAAATATATTAGCAAAATAACACCTCTCTTTACTATGCATGCATTTAGCTAGATACCTGGCAAAAACTAGATATTTGCTTGTGACGTTTACCTTTAAATATAACGAAAAAATTTAAAAGAAACAGATAAACTCAAAAGTAGAGAAACTTTTTCCTCAATCGAATATTCGAAATGAGGTTAAACGAAAAATTATTTAATTTGTTATTTATAACTGTTATTATGTAGTTGCCAAACATACCCAATGTAAGTATAGTTAATAGAGAATTTGATGAAATAAAAATTACCTAAAATTATCATAATTATACAGCAAGCTACTTATTACTAGATAGGAAATTGTAGATTATTAATTACAGTAAATGTTGAACCATAACGAACTAAAGCAAGTTTAATTAATAAAGTTTTGTAAAAAAAATAGATGAAAACCAGTGTGGAAATTAAAAATTATTTATGCTATTCGTAGCAAATAAATGTAACTTCATAACTCATTCTTAACGATAATCTCGATGACTTCAAGCATTAACCAAATGAACGCTTTATCTTAAACGCAATTTTAAATTATTTTAAGTTGAATTTTAATGTCATATTAATGAAGATTGGCGTTGTTTTCCGTTCAGTAAAACTTCCAAAAAGAGCCGAATAAGCGGCGACATTTTTATGGTAGTCACAATATTACAGTAAAATCTGTAAAATAAATAGCCACATCAGGAGGACAGGTTTTTGGTTTAATTAACGGCCATCCGTTAATGCATGGTACTAAAGGAAGATGATATTAGGCTCGAGACAGAGATAGCGTATTCGTAACGAAAACACGTAACAGACTATGGTAGAGTTACAAGTGCTTTCTCAGGAGTATTTCAATATTTATTCCTACCGTTTTACAACAGCTTCCTTAATTCTCGTTTAAACGGGTTCTGTTCCATCCTTTCTCAAACAAGTGCCTAGGTACTTTTCGTAGAAAAAAATTTAGATTTGTTTTCAGTTTGATACTAATCAGCGTGATTCTGTATAAAAATAAAGAAAATTCCCAATGAAGTTAATATAATATAAACAAGTTATAAAATCCGTTATATAAATTATCATCAATTTAAAAAGCAAAGTTATGCTTAGAATAAAAAGGTAGTAAAAAATGCCGTTAAGTATGTGAGTACATAGAAAAGGGTAACGCTCTGATGCATGCAACGAAATGACGACGACTTATGAGAACATCGAAAGAAAGAAAAGTATAAAAATTGTGGATTATTAAAACAGTAAATATAAATCATCCCGCGAACCCTGAAACACGTCCGTATGTATGCATGTTATTTTCCGGAGTTAATACAATATGCTACATGTTTTTTATGATGTTAGCAACGTAACTTAGTAGAACGTGTGAACAGTTTTAATTAGTTCCTATATACGCAGGTTCATGTCTCTCGATTTCTTAAATGATCCTTCCTCTTTGAGCTCTGTGCTGTATAATTAATTAGGCACATCAGCGTCATGAGTACTATAGTGCCGGTGGAAGTGACTGGAATTACACGCGATTCACCATAAAAGTAATTAATTCATTTGAAATTGCAAAGGTACGCATATGATTTTTCGATTAAAGGATTCTAAATCAAAAAATTTTATCTGAAAATTATTCAATGAAGACATATTTAATGATAATGATTTGGCGATATCAAAAGGAAAAAAGTAATTTGAGACAAAATTATAAGGTGCACTAAATCGGTAAGAAAGTTTAAAATTTTCTCACTTTGCTTCTTAATATGTTCCTACATACTTATGAAAATGTTATTCTTTTTTGGTAAAATAATGTAATTTTTCGCCTTTGGCTTTGCATCGTAGAAAAACAGTATTTAACATCAGACCGAATGCTTAACTATACGCATCAAGGGGCACATCATAGGGGAAGGTGAGGACGGTTATGTTCGTAAAACACCTGGCAACGAACTTGGAGACCCATAAATTTTGAAAGCAACGTACCAATTGTATTTGTAAAATTCGGCTACAATAGAACACGTTGCAAAAATTTAAAACATGCACATATGTTTCTTCTCTACCAACTACAGATTTTGTCATATTGCTTCATCATGGTATTTTGGCAAGTTTACAGCCCGATAAGTCATTAAAAAGATGAAGAATGCTAGAGATCTTTTGGTACTCGTATTTTTAAAACGTTAAACAAAGAAATACAAAAAATACCGAAATTATCAAATGGCTAAACAGACTAAACAAGATTTGTATTTAGCGTTTAGATTCAAACACAACGTAGATTTATATTCTTCGAAAATAGGCTATCATTGTGAATTAAGAGATGAAGGTGCAGTTTCGAAGAATACAATGGGTTTCAAGACACGAAAAGAAAGTAAACCAAAAATGTTCACGACTTTGTAACATTTTTTAGATTGTGACGAGGGATTTTAACAATACAATCGATTGTTGCATCGAGGTACAGAGTCATGCTTTTGTTTGATTAGGACAATGAAAAGTTAGAGCGGCCTGTGGGCCTGTAACGTTTTTAAAATTTAACAGAATAATTTCAAAAGGAAAAAATAATCGCTTAAAACGCGTTACGGGGAAGCTATTCGATCAAATGTTGTGAATTTATTTGCATTCACTATCGCTCACAATAAGTACGCATACACTCGGCCTAGTTTTAACTCTTTCATTAAAAGTAAACTATATTCGCCAGTATTTTACTGCAGAAATATTTGATATTCAAAAAAGAAACAGTATTACGTATAATTCCGTTCATAATAGAAATAATGTTTTTATTAATACGAGCATGTAAGTATATACGAAACATAAAAAGTTTTGCCGTTTTATCTTTTAGGATTTAAAAAACAACATGAAACTTATTTAATCGTATTTAACGTGAGCATGGGGAGAATAGGTGAAGGGTTGTGTTACTTGGCAGAGCTTAGAAAAGACCATAATCCACCGTGTAGCATAGGTAAACATTTGGGTAAAACGGAAAGGTCTTGCATGAATCAGGAGAGGGTCGAAATCCGGTTGACAGCTGCGGTGCATGTGTGTAAAGCTAAACTTGTGCGCACTATGTTTTATAGAAAGGGCCACTGCAACGAATATGTATGCAAATTTACTTTTGCTATATCGGTTAGTAACGAAGTACTGATTTATTGTACCTATTCCCTTTTTGTCGAGTACACGCCAAGCTAACGAAGAGATTTCGCGTAAGGTAATGATAAAACAGGCAAATAACAAAATAAAACTAGATTTGCGTTCATTGAATTGTAGACGTATTAGTAGAAGACTAACATGTGCTTGTCCTAATTCACTAGACACAATATGATTTTAAATACATACTAGAAATGTAATGATACTTGATGCTTTGATAAAGATAAGGGCGGTTTGTAGTTTGTTATATTATAAGATATGAGGACATTTTGATCGTTTTAGGTATGATTGTTCTTTTAAATAAGTACAAAAGTCCATTGAATACGTTTGATATAAACAAACTTACCTTCGTTGTGCGTTGTCAGGTTTCCATGATATGCTTGTACAATAAGAGAAAATGTACCCTGCAAAGAAGAATAAGCACGCTCTGTATTTTTTGCAAAAAATAATAGTAATAAATAAAGGTAAACAATTAATTTGAAAGATAAGCAAGAAATTCACTGAAAGTAGTCGTTTATCAATATGGTTGATTCTTATTTAGATTTGTCTACTGTAGTACTGCCTACTTTATGTATCAATATTGATTGAGAACATTGGTTTACATTGGATTTCTAACGAACTCATTATAAGTTCGTATAAAATTTATTATGAAAATTAGTTCACTGTCATAATTATGACACAAAAAATGTACTACAATTACATACCAGTATTTTACGACGGCAAAAAATTAAACTTTTTTAACTTCAACATGCAACATTCCAGAATTCGTATGTGAAAGACAATGAAATATAATGAAATGCACCCACTTAAAACAATAATTATTGAAATTTGTACTTGGCGGAATAAAGAATAGTGCAATGTAAGGCGAGCAAGGAATGATAGTATTAGGTACCTAGTATAAGTACACGAATGTACCACAGTAAATTATGTAAAACCGGTTGACAAATAACAATTTACAACTAACCGGCATCTCTTCTTTCTACTTATTGCACACGAAATGGTGGGAAAATAGTACTTTCAAGCGTTTTTACCACGACTTGGATAAATCAATTGGAAATTTGTAGCAGCAACATTGATACCCAAAGCTAATTGATCACAGACTGGTTTATAAAGCAGCAAGAGCGACAATACAAAGCGGCACCTGGTTTAACTTTTAACTATTATAGTAATAAATAACATGCTTTGCCCGATGATACGCTTTCAAGCATTTTCAGTTCTTTACTTAATTAAATAAGTAAATTACTTCTAGCACTGTTGCATAAACTATAAAATTAGCAGCGTTATTGTTAAATTTAAATTTCACGCATTTTTGCCTTAAGAATTCGATGGTTGCATAATTTAAGAAAGCTGCAAGTTTTGTTTAATTTGGATAGTTTTTAATCAACCACTTAAATTGTTAAAATTAATGTACATCTTCTAATTTCGCAATCGTTAATAATTAAAACATGGTTACACTTATTAACTTTCCCCTTTCAATAAGAATTACCAGGAAAAGATTAATTATATAATTTTCTTTTCAATTACGACTAACTTTATAATAATTCACGGTGAATCATTCAAACAAAAAATATACACCCATTTTTAAATTGAGTATCAAAAGCACTTCCAATTTATGAAATATAGATACAATAGGTGCTTAATATGTTAAAGAATAATAAACGAACAGGTACAACATAAAATAAATAAAGAAATGACAAGAAAAAAATTGACAACTGGGACGAAACTCAAACATCGTCTGCAAAATACAAGCAAAGATAAACCTTTTTCAAACAGATTAAAATTTATTTAAAACAACTGGGAGCAGTATCTAGGTACGTATTTTATCGTTCGTATTTGTAAGTGGCCTGCATAAATACGCAAAAAATATTTCTTAACAAGTTAATTTACATTTGTCAGATAGCGAGAGAAAAAGTTGCAGTGCAACCAGCTACATTCATTTTATCGATAAATCTATTATTAGTAAGTTTAAATTCGTGCAACCTGTTTCCCACGGTGTGTATCTATACCTGCTCAGAGCCAGTTTATAGGATGCTGCAAAATCATCCAACGGAAATGGTAAATATACTTTCTTAGTAAACTGCACATGCGGTTTATTAGGTTTCATTTTATGATTATTTCCTGCTTTATATTTTTATAAATTATTCCTAGGCTGCGAAAATAAATATTTTAAAAATTTTAGATTGCGCCAAATGAATATGTGTACGTATAAATATCAGTACTTATTAATAGTTAGGTAGGGAAAGTTAAGAAGTGAGGTTTATAGCTAAAGGCATTTTTGAATCTCATTTAATCTATGAGGTAAGCCAGTTCATAACAAGTTGTTCTCAATCAAATTTTACGTAATATGTAGGTACCTATACTTATCATCCCTATTGTTATTACCACTGCTCTAGTGGTAACAGTGAAAAAATAAACGACTACTTATTAAATGTGGGTCTGTCGGTTTTATAATTTGTATCATGTACATATTTTTAAGCTGTTTCAAAAGTGCAATATAAGAATGGAATTACGATTGAAATTAAATTTCTCCAAATTCAATTAGATTTGTACTTTTACTCAATAAATAAACAAGCACTCCTAAGTGGTTCTCATTTGAAGTGGTTGTTTCCGAAACGACTCATTTATAAATTAAGTATTTCTAAAAAATCTCAGAACTTACCGGCCACGTAAAGGGGAAAGGAAATCTTATGGGGCTATCAAAACCATCCTGAGATTCCGTCCGTTGGTTCGCCAGATACACAGGAGTTATGACTTCCCCAAAAGTGCACGGTCCTTTCAGATCGACCACCACTTGATATTCTTTGAGACATATTCTAAATTGTGGTTGACATGTTCCGATGCATTCCGAATTTTTCATTTTTCCAGTACAACATTTACCGAAATCCTCTTTGCCGGCATCATTGTCAAAAGATTTCAGTCTCAATTCGAAAATGCCTGAGGAATCCGCCTATGACAAAAACATTTCTCAGTGTATACCTACACGAACTTTAACGCGTATCTGTTAAGAACGTATGTACCTATGTAGGTATGTACTTTGTAGGTAAGTTAAAAACGATAGGTAGGATACGTGCATGTATAAGCATCTGATGCTTTGGACATGTGTGTTGTGTACATACAACAAACGTTCGGTGGTCTCTTGGGATCGAAAGCTATTTTAAGAACTCGTAGTAAAGCAATGAATACCAAAAGCATTCGAATTTAACTTTAGAAAACGGAATCAAAAAACGAAAAAGTGTGAGTCAAACTGCATCTTGAAGAGCACGAGACAGTGACCAATAACAATCAATTTCAGTGTCTCGCGCGTTAGCAAAATCACCTTGGTTTTCGATTCCTCAGAGTAAAGAGCGCGGGGTTTTCAACTTTGAATGTTTATCGGGATTATGTTCTTTAAACGCCGTAAAGGACTTACCTGTTGTAAGACCAATACAAGGCCGACTAGAGAGAATCTTATCCAAGACATGGTAGCGTCAATAGGGATTCAGTAGCAGCTTGATGCCGTTACCGTCGAGTCGATCTAAAATACCGAGCCATAGGCAAATTATCGTCGAACACTAGCACTAAGTCACAAAAAGCAACATTTACAAAAAAACTACAGGCACTTTGTTAACTACCACCCATTACGGTTTTACGACACAACACACTTCACTGAACAGCTCCAACAAAAGAACGGCACGGTACATTCACGAAAACTAGTTGCAGACTGGCAATCAACAGCACGGCCGTGTGGTAGCGAAGCATCAACGTCTGTCCAGGGGAGGGGAGCAGCAAGCGCACCAAGGGGGCCCGATGTGTGCTTCCGCTAGCGCTCTACAGTCTCCGCCACTGTACAACTGCTTCCGAGTTATCTAGCCCGCTTACTACCCTCGAATGGCCAGCCACCCGGCTTGCTGTCCTTAATATTATGAGGAGCGGCAGCTGTTGTTCGACGGCTGCTGTTGTCGGTGTGCCATGGGGTAGTAGTAGTAGTAGTAGCAGTAGTAGTAGCAGCGTATGAGCTGCATACGACGCTGCACCACTTTCTACCCCATACGCCACACCACCACCACGCGTTCTTTCTGGACGGATGAACCGGAGACCCTGCTGGCAACGTGTGTATTTCATAACGACGCGACGCGATGCGACACCCAACTGTAAACACCTTGTAGTACGTCAAAACAAGCGTAACATGCTTACTATTAATACGCAACTTTACTACCAATATGCAAATTACATATACGATAAGAAGTTTACTAATAGGAATATCATTTTCAAATAAAACTCCTACTGACCTAACGAGAATCATATTTGTTAGTAGGCACTGTACCATCTATCAGTTAATATACCAACCATCCATCAGTTAATATACGTACTTCTTTAATCCATTTAAGAAAAGTTGTTTTAATAACAATAAACAAATAAAAATATAAGTACTAAATATCTACCTATACTGGCATCAAAAATAATGTAATTAAATTTAAACTTTCTTCAAGTTTTTTAAAGTGGTGACTTTGTGTAGGTAGATATAAAATGCTAATAATTTATTGTCTACGTGAGTTTTTGCTATCTCCACTAACATCATGCAATCATAAAACCCTCATTTTTCATCAAAAATAGTCAACACATTCAAGTAGCAAGTAGATACCTACCTATTTTACTTATACTTTTTTAAAACTTACTAGAAGAGGTGTTGTCAACTTATAAGACGTTGGAATAGACAGCTAAGTCGATAAATTATTTCAAATTGTAAAACTTTCGTTTTTCTCGAATTTTATTTCAGAATTTTTAATTTACGAACCATACCCTCCGAAAGTCGCAAGCATACTGACTAAAAATAATAAATTTATATATCAATTCGGAAAAGAAAATCGGTGACTGACACGAACCTATTAATAATGTCGTATTACTGTTTTTTTTCCTAATAACGTACTACATTGGTGACAAAAAATTTCAATTACATTTACGTATTATTAGTATGTACTTTTAATGGGCTATTTATACGAGGCGTGTTTGAAAAGCATGTCCTTTGTTATCAATATTTATTTGGAAAAGCTATTAGAAAACGGTAATGATCAATTAAATAAATACTAATCTTAATTTACTGTAATAATATAAATTACGGTCTGAGACATAATTTTAATTGAATTTATTTTTAGATCTTTACCAATTTGGACATTCAAAAAAAGAAAAGAAATCGATTCAAAAACAGTCTTAAACTCCCTTTAACATCGTAATGTTTTTTTGTAATGACGTAAACCAACAACAAAACTTTAATGGGTCTTCTGTTTATTTCTTTGTATCTTCATTAACTTTTCCAACGTTTACCCTTGATTTCGATTAGCTATCTATGTACTTAAGCTAAGTTACATGCCACACTTATTTATCTGTTTTACTAAATCCTCCCACAAATTACTAGGTGACTATTTTAAAACATCTAAAAATAGAGGTAACGTCTGCCATATTATTAACCCTTTCCACTTAAAAACCCTTACGTTGTAACCTTCAAACTGAAATCCCCGCCCGACCAGCTGTGTAAAAGTAATGAGTCTTATCTATATTAGTGTAAACTTTGACAGCTGCCGATATTCTGCAAAAGATTTTGTCGTCCTGTCCTCTTGGAGAGTTTTAGACAGTCTCATTATCGCACAGCTTAAAAGCGCTACCCTTCTTTTACGAGAAAATATGCAACACGGCTGCTTTGAAAAGTGTTTTTAAGAAAACGAAACAAAAAGTTACTTTAGTAAAGTATTATTTGTAAAAAATTATTTCCGAAAAATACATAGTCATTGTTAAGGCACATGAAATATGTTCAATATCAACGCTTAATTTGATAATAAATCACAGTTTTTTATACGGAACCAAACCAGTTGGTCCCAAACAATTGCTCTGATTAGTTTTACCTAAAGAAGAGCAGATGTTTTACACGGTGTTAGTTGATGAGCGATCGAGCAAAAACTTGCTTAATAATTACAGAGTAATGATTAGGCTGATACGATAATAAATAAAAGGACGTCGATCTATTTAATTGTGGATAGTGTATTTTCCAATTTTAATCCGTCTTCTTTTTCTCTGACCAGATTAAAACGTTTGAAATTGATTTTTATAAGCAGAAATTTTTAGTAGGGAAGAACTACTGCATTCGTTCTGAATTTTTATTTCAGTTTCATTTATTTTAAAAGTTTGCCATCTGTTTATTCGATAACTGGGAAAATCCAGAATTACCTGTAAATCTCTTTATTGTGCTTAGAAGGTACAGATGAGGAATTGAAACCACTTGGGAACTTCTGTGGTGTTTTGAAAGACATCAAAACATCTGCTGAACACCTTCGCGAATTGTGGCTGTGGGAAGGTAGACTATAATAAAGACATTTTAGCTGCTTTCTGTTTACCTACGTGATCTTTTCTAGTTTCAAAGTATACCTTATTTGAACGCTTTCAAAGCTCAGCATAGTTTTATGAAATTATTGAATTAGGGACTTGGCATCAGTCGGTATCCATGTGCTTATTATTTTATTAAAGTGTTAGGACATCCATGAAAACGCACTTCTAACAAACCACATTCGCTAAAAAATAATAATATTATTTAGAATGTTTTTAGATGGAATATACCTTTATTATTTTCAAAAGAGACAGCACATTTGTTTTGATTGATGTAACAGAAATTCTATTTGAAACATATGATAAATAAAATTTAGGTAGATTTTACGGTTAATTTGCAACAATAAATTAAATGAATTCGGTTAAAAAAGGTGTGACCAATTATCAAATTGCTATTTAACTAGGTTTCGTTTTTTTAAAAAAAGAATACGCACAAGTACCCGGTTTGTAAACTTTCTATTACTAATTTAAAGAAATTGCCGCCTTTAAAGCAGCAGCTATATTTATTTCGAACAAACCAATTACGATTTTGTTAAAATATTTCGTCAAAGATTGGGGTTGATTATTAATTATAATAATAATATAATTATTTTCGTTACTAAACGAAATAAATATTATCAAGATAAATTTAATTGATCGTGATATTTTATGAATTATTATATTACTTACATGGAATTCTAAAATACTTTTTAATCACGATTTCTTGATAAGACCTATCATTTATTATTAAAATCGTTTTAATTTTCGGCTGTATCAANATTAATAATGTTATTTATTATTATTTATGAAAGTTTAATGTAGAAAACTCGTTGCAATTAAATTTTGGTAAAATGTTTGCAATACAGATTTGTGACGTATGAGGGTATAAATCGAGATTTTTCTTTTGGGATAAAAAGACACATATGGTGCTTAATTTAGGTCAGTAACCACCTGGCTTATATTAAACACGTGGTTACCGAAAGCTGCTAGAAGGGCGGCTTGCTGAGGGGAGTTGTGCGGAATTCGATGATAGGATTGACAGTAGACGCGTGCCCGGCCCTTCTGTGGTAGTACCTAATACGAGAATTTTTGCCCCTACGCTATCTTTCAGAACCAAGAATATATAAAATATATCATTTGAGCACGTGCTACCTCATTAAGGAAGAAATTTGGGCTTCCCATAAGGCACGGAATTCAATATCGTGCTTTAGTGATGTCCCATAGACACAATAAAGTTAGATTTCATCGCAATTAGGAATTTATTAGTCAATTTTAGAGCATTTTTTCCTTTCAGTTGAAAAAAGCAGGTATTTTTTATTTTGTTAAAATTAAATTAAAAAAAATAAAACGAATTGTCATTGAACAGAACAATATGTTCTTGGTTAGAATTTTTTCTATAATATTTCTCATCTTAACATTTCATAAGGCATAGACAGTTCCAAATCGTCACTTCAGGTTAATAACTGCAAAATAAATAAAAAGTAGGGATGTTTATGAACTTACAATTAATATATATGTAACTTATTCCCTCAGATTCATCAAATAAGTCTTAATTGCGTGTAACAATAACTATATGCTGTAAGGGATGGGGTTTTTGGGACGGAAATTGTACCACTGTACTATAGAGTGGTGCGGATGTGCGGGTGTTAAAAAAAAAACAATAAAAGAATCGCGAGAGGAAGAAAAGAAATGAGACTTCCGTGAGTACAAGTTGTGTTCTTGTTACACAGTGATAATAGCACAGGGGTAGATTTCGTACAGGTTAGTGCAGCTGCCGGGGCAGGTAATATGCTAAATATAGCGTTTTCTCTCCAGAAAACCTATTTCCGGTTGAATCTTATCCCTCAAGTGGTACCGAATCAACAGGCTGGCCGGAAGCCCTGAATGCTCTACTTATTTTACAGAGGTTTATTTGTTTTCCCACCGGTAAAGACGAGCATTATTTCCACCTTATGTGCGGCTTCCGGGCGCTATGTTAAAATTTCATAAACGATAACAAACCCCTAACTGGGCCAAGTTCATCTTCTGAGAAAATTGCAGATTTCGATTATAATTACGTTCAATTAATTTAGTAATAATAAAAGGGTTGCAACCGTTTAGCGTTTAATGGATGGTTACCTTAATTAAACAATCTTCCGCTTATATACAGGGTGGTGTGTTACATCGTCTAAGAAAAGATTTTTTGATTCCTATTATTTAATATTTTTTTTGTCGGGTACTTTAGGGGAGAGTAGGGGACAAAGTTAATTACATAATGTTTTCTGTTAGGTACCAATGTCTCGAGAAAATGTCCTTTTACGTTCTTTTTTATTTTTCACGTAAGGATTTTTTATTTCAAAGTCAATTTTTAGTGACATTACTTTTAAATGACACTTTCGACTGTTATCTTCACCCTAACTGCCGTACTATTCCCCCTCTTACGTACTTCGAATTCCAAATTTTCCGTGTCTATATATCTGAACCGATTTTAATGGGAATTAACGGGTATGTAAAGGAGGTTGTTCAATAGTCAACCCCTAGGAGAAAAGCGCCAAAAATTGGTAAAAATAATACGGTCTCTTACGTACTCTGGGGGTGGAAGTTCTAAACGTAGGATTACGTAGTACTTTTAGGTTTGTTGTGGCTTTATAGAAATTTGATATAGAAACTCAAAGAAATATTTTTCTTGGTAGAATAATAATGAAAAT